TAGTACTTTCTTGCATTAAAACAACTCTAAGATCAATATCCAAAGCATTTATATGCAAAATGAAAAGTCAAATGTAGTCAGGATACTCTAAAATTGAAGGAGTTGTTAACAACTCTTTAAGATCCATAAATGCCTATTTGCAGTTCTTAGACTAGATGAAAGATAATGTTGACAACTTTAATAACATTTACAATAGTGCAATGTGATCAAAAAGATAATTAACAAAATGACCGAGATATTGCACATTGCCCAAGAAGCGTTGTATATTATTTATACACTTCAAAATACAATTACAAGTTTATCATGATCAATTTGTAAACCTTCATAAGAAATATAGTATCCAATATAAGTCGTGTCTTAAAACTTAAACATGCACTTCGACCACTTTAGCTTTAAACTAACTTTCCGCAAGTGAACCAACACCTTATGAACATCACAAATGTGCTCCTTCTACATCCCCTCAAAGTGGATCAAGGCATCATCAATTAAGTTATTAGTCACATTTGACATATTGTAGAGAACCTTGTCCATCATTCACTGGAAAGTCATTGAAATATTGTTTATATCAAATGGCATCACCAAAAACTTATATAAAGAAAATGCTATACAAAAAGCAATTTTGGGAACATTGTTCTTGGCAATCGGCACTTGTCAACACCTAAAAACAAGATTTAATTTGATGAATCAACAATTTCTCCCCAAACGATCTAGAAGATTAATAGTGTAAAGAAGAAGATATATATCTAAGATAGTCACTTCATTTAATAGTCAATAGTCAATGTAGAAACAAATACTCCCATTAGGCTTTGTGACAAGATGAGGTTCATAAACCTAAAGATTCCATGATTTTTAGATAACACCCTTCTCCAACATCTCTTTAACATTTACACATAAAATGTTGATCTTTTTTGGTGATTGATGACAAATAAAAACCTTGAGTAGATGAGCATCCCCAGTTGGAATAGGATAATATATTACAATCTTGGCCTTAAAGAATAGGTCAAAGTCGAAGAGATCAGCATACTCCTCCATGAGGACCATTACAGTTAAAGTTAAGAGACAAAGTAGAACAAAAATGAAAGGAAATAAAGAAGTATAAAAGAAAAGGGAAAAATCTCAAAGTCATATTTGGCATGATTGCACCACAACTAATCCATATAAGGGATGAAGTCAAAAGCTTGACTTGGCACCATTCACAATAATTAAAGCTCAAGCTTAAGATTGCCCATACATACAACTAAGTTTACCTTATCTCACTTAAATGTATGTGTACATCTATTGTCATAGAGAATAAAGACTGGCTTTGCTACATGATGCAAATATAGATGACAATGTTTAGTAACAGGCCAAGCAATAAAAGATATCTAAGCCTATATTAATTAATACAAAAAGAATAATAAAAGACCTTTTGTTATAAAAATAGGTTTAGAAAGTAAATACTAGATGAATTAGTGCCAAGTGAACCTTTTAATGATACTCCTGAAAGAAGAGCAAAAGGGTTATTGACTTCCTCCCGTGGCTCTTCATTTCTTAAAAGAATCTTAATGTCTAGAGCTTCCACTATAGCAGCACCAACAAAACATTGTTGATGCTAAAGCCTCCACTTAGAAATAGTGGATGCCAATGTAAGTGACTAATTTTTTTCCATTCTACTTTAGTCACTTAACCACACCTTCAACCACTTGGAAGAGTCTCACTCACAACCTCTATAAGTTCTATTTTGGACTTGGGCTTGCTAGCCCTAAGAATGGCATCCCCGCCACTCAACCTTTGCACTTGGTCCAAGTGCTTCACATGTCTGATCCCATGACCGACAGCCCAAAGTACCACCGACACATCAGCCCATTACACTAAGGCCATGCCCATTCACCTTGGTCACACCGGTGGTCTGACACCACCTACACCACAGTCCCGTCTCTCAAAGACTGGGCCATCTGTCCATGAGTGATCATCCCAGATCCACTCCTTAGCATCCTTAGGATGTCCACAGACATGGGGAATAGCCTTCCCCAATATCCCCTTTCCGGTCCCCACCAAGTCTCTTTCTGCCCATGGCTGTGTTCACCAACATTGCCACTGGATCAAGGCCCACCGGCCCGACCACTAAGTCCCACGGTCCTCTGGGGCTTCCTCCTCACATGACTGTATCCTTGGTCTCTATGCTATAGGACGGCTCCTCTTCCTTTTCACAGTCTGGGACCTTGGGGCAACCTTTCGGAACACCGTGGCCTTACGCGAGCCTCGTGGGTACTCTCCCTGCCTTCCGCCTTTGGGTGCTCTAACTGTGGGCTTAGAGCGAGGTTCTGTTAAGCCACACCAGGTATCCAAGTAGGTAGTGCCACCCACACTTGGACTAGGAGCATCGGCCAGTCGATCTCCCGAAGGAACTAGAGCCGACTCTTGAACACTTCACCAAGCTACCCTGTTTGTCAGTCCGTGTTCACTCTAGTCTTGGACTTCCTAGTGGGTAGATCATCACCCAACACTAGGTACAACCTTCCTGGGCCAAACTAGCCTTTCTTGGCCAAACTGGCTCCACTGTAGTCCTCCCCCTACTATACTTTTGGAGCTCATCAAACCCCCCAAGGTTTGGGAGACAAACGCTTTGGGCTTTCACCCTCTCAGACTCAAACTCGGACTCGGACTCGAACTCGGACTCGGACTCGGACTCGGACTCGGACTCAGACTCGGACTTGGACTCGGACTCGAACTCGGACTCGGGCTTGGGCTTAGCCTCAGCCTTGGCCTCGGTCTCGGTCTTGGTCTCGGTCCCGGTCTCGGTCTCGGTCCGGTCTCAGTCTCGACCTCGAACTCCATCTTGGGTCCTTCTCGGACTCCATCTCAGATTCCATCTCAGGTCCATCTCAGACTCCATCTTGGGTCCTTCTCGGACTCCATCTCGGAGTCCATCTCGGGTCCATCTCAGACTCCATCTTGGGTCCTTCTCGGACTCCATCTCGGATTCCATCTCAGGTCCATCTCAGACTCCATCTCGGACTCCATCTCGGACTCCATCTCGGGTCCATCTTGGACTCCATCTTGGGTCCATCTTAGACTCCATCTCAGGTCTATCTCGGACTCCATCTCGGACTCCATCTCGGTCCACGGTCCTCTGGGACTTCCTCACCACACGACTGTATCCTTGGTCACTACACCAAAGGGGTATTCCTCTTCCTTTCCACAGTCTAGGCATTTGGGACAACATTTAGGAACACCGTGGTCTTACACAAGCCTCATGGGTACTCTCCCCGCATTTCACTTTTGGGTGCTCTAGCCATCGGCTTAGAGTGAGGTTCCATTGAGCCACGTCTGGTATCTAAGTAGGTAGTGCCACCCACACTTGGACTGGGAGCATCGGCCAGTTGATCTCCTAGGGGAACTAGAGGTGGCTCTTGAACACTTCACCAAGCTACCCCACTTGTTAGTTTGTGTTCACTCTAGTCTTGGACTTCCCAGTGGGCAACTCATCACCCAACACTGGGTACAGCCTTTCTGGGCCAAACTGGCCTTTCTTGGCCAAACTGGCTCCACTACAATCCTCCCCCTTACTATACTTTTGGAGCTCACTAAACCCCCTAGGGTCTGAGAGAAGAACGCTTTGGGCTTTCACCCTCTCAGACTCGAACTCGAACTCGGACTCGAACTCGGACTCGGCCTCGGTCTCAGCCTCGGTCTCGGTCTTGGTCTCAGTCCCGATCTTGGTCTCGGTCTTAGTCTCGGTCCTTGTCTCGGTCTC